ACATCCCCCCCCCCCGGGGGATGGCCATGCCACAATCTCTTTTCCTCCATTCTTTTTTTTTTATTCTTTTTTATTTTTATTTCATCTTATTTATTCTTTTTTTTTTTTTAATTTGACCAGAGGGCCAGAGACAGAGAGCAAGTGAAAAAGCAAGCCACCATGTCCAGGACTTGAACCATGGTCAGCCATGTGGGAGTGTCCAGCACCTTAACCACCATGCCACCTGCTGGTTCCTCTTCTCCTCCATTCTTCTCCTGGGATCTTGGGCACGCACGTACAAGCGCCTGGTGTGATTTTCAATCCACCGGGTCCGGGATTTGAATTGCTGTTAGCCGCGTGGGAGTTCAGCAACATAACCATTAAGCCATCTGCTTGCTCCCTTTCCATTGTTTTTGATTGGTTTGCTATAGGGCACATATGTGCACATGTGCACACCGGGGAGAAAGTCAGAGAGACAGAAAGCGAAAAATCACCCCCCAGGGGGGATGGCCACACCACACTCCCTTCTCCTCCATTCTCCTCTCAGGATTTTGGGCACGCACGCACATGTGCTTAGCGTGTTTTTCAAACCGCTGGGTCTAGGACTCAAACTGTGCAGTCAGCCATGTGGGATCCAGCCGTCTTAACCACTACACTACCTGGCTGACTCTTTGTTATATTTTACATAAACAATTAATAATTTTTCTGGGTCCAGCAGGTGGCATGGTTGTTAAGGACATTGGACTCCTACATGGCCAACTCTGGTTTGAATCCCGGACCTGGCAGCTTGCTTTCTCATTTTCCCTTTCTCTCTCTCTGTCTTGCTCTGTCCTTCTCTGCTCCAATGAAAATAAATTAATTAATTAATAAATAAATTAAATTAAATTAAATAATCTTTATACAATAATTTTTTTTCTTATAATACAAACCATTTTCTCTTGTCCCATTCCGATTTTATTCTTTATTCCCAAGTTAGGGTTATGGTTTGAAAAATAAACAGCTCGGGACCAGCAGGTGGCATGGTGGTTAAGGCAGTTGGACACTCCCATATGGCCAATTGTGGTTCGAGTCCTGGACCTGGTGGCTTGCTTTCTCACTTTCCCCCTCTCTCTCTCTGTGTTTCTCTCTGGTCAAATTAAAAATAAATAAGTGAATAAGTGAAATTAAACAAATAACTATTTAAAAAAAAATACACAGCTTACCTGGAGTTTCACTGTCCCTTTCTCTAAAAATAAAAACAAAAATAAAAAAGGTTAAGTCGGGAGCAGCATGTTCCTGTCTCCTTAAACAGCAGCTTTATAAACAGGGACTTGCTCCACCCAGAGGGTTTTTTTTTTTTCTGTGGACAGACACACTCTTAAGTCATGCTGGCCTGGCCCGGGCAGGGCTGGGCTTGGCAGATCTGAGAGGTTTCCTTCAAGCTGGCAAGAGTTGAAGGCTGCAGAGGATGGACAAAGCTGAGTTATTCAGGGGAGACTTGGCCTGCTCGCATCCCAAATTCAGTTCACCCCTGGCCCCTGCCCAAGCTAAACTGTGAGAGGAGTACAGGGAAAACAGCAGAGGAGATAAACAAGAAGAGAAAACGAGACAGAGGTCCCCAGTGGACCCCACCCTAGGGCATCAAACGGACTCCGATCACCTCCTTCTTCTATCCACTGAGTCATTTGCTATTCCGACATCTGTCCTGGGCTTTGGATGCCTCAGCTACTATTTTTGGCCCCCAGCATCCACCTCCCCATCACCTCCAAACAGAAGCCCAGTTTCCACAGGGGAGCTGCTGGCCCAGGTCCCTGTGCATGGGCTCCAAGCAGCTCCACCCACCTCCTTTGTGTTCTGTGTCAATCTACATAGGCCCTCCCCCCAGTCACAGTGATTGGTTTGAAATTGAACACATAACCCAAAACGGGCCAATCCCCATAGACCTTTCCCTTGGTTACAGTGATTGGTTTGAGGTTAAACACATGATCCCAAAGGGGGCCAATCAATTTAAGCCTTCCTCGGTCCCATAGGGATCAGTTCAGGTTTGAGCCTAAGACCCAAGAAAGACCAATTCTCACGGGCCTCTCTCCCGCCAGTGGTGATTGGCTTGAGGTTAAGCACATGACCCAAGATAAGCCAATCAACATAAACCTTCCCCTTGATCACAGGGATTGGTTCAGGATTGAGCACAAGACCCAAGATGGGCCAATCACCTAGACCATCCTCTCTGGCGACAGTGATTGGCTCAGAGATGAGCCAATCAGAGAGAATCCTGGGAGTTTATTCAGTGGTCCCAGGAAAGTGGCACGCCAGATGATTTTGAGAAGGAAAGAGACACAGACCTCCTGGTGCCTGGAGGCCACTAGCATTCTAGTGCTACCCCCTGAGCTCTCTGTTGCTGAAGGCGACCTCAGCGGGATTTCAGGGCTGGCCACTGAGACTGCCAGCTTCCATCTTCCACGTCTCCAACAGGGGCCAAAGGCTCCCTGGCTGACTGAAGAGTCCCCAACACCGTCTCTTTGTGTTTCACCCTGGATGCTGTCATTTATTTTCTTTCTTTCTTTCTTCTTTTTATTTATTTATTAGAAAGTTTTGCTATAGGGTGCATGCACTTGCCAGAGAGACAGAGAGACAGAAAGCGAGAAATCACCCCCCCCCCCGGGGGGGATGGCCACGCCACAATCCCTTCTCCTCCATGCTCCTCTCGGGATCTTGGGCACGCACGCACACGCAGCCGGTGTGAGTTTTAAGCGACTGGGTCCAGGTTTTGAACCACTGTCGGCTACATGGCAGTCCAGTGACGTAACCACTATGCCATCTGCCGGTCCTGTCACTGTTATTTTCTACATGTGACCCAGGAGAAAGGGGGAGATGCCAAGTGAGTGCTGAACTTTATGCAGAGACAGATCTGGGTCTAAAGGCACTGAAGTACCAGAAGCCCAACCGAGTCTTATATAGTTTTTTGTTTGTTTTTTTGAGAGGTTTTTGCTATACGGCATGTGCGCTCGCCAGAAAGAGACAGAGAGACAGAAAGCAAGAAATCACCCCCCCAGGGGGGATGGCCACGCTGCAATTCCTTCCCCTCCATTCTCCTCTCGGGATCTTGGGCACGCATGCACACGTGCCCACGGTCTTATATAGTTGTGAGCGCTCTGCCAGGTGACAAGTCCCAATGTCATCACAGAAGGGTGCCTTCATTCTATCAGGACCAGGACCACAGAGCCAGGACCCCTGAGGAGTAATGCATTCTGGGTAGATGGCTGTCCCTCTGGGCTTTACCCTCTCTGGATGGGGAGAATACAGCCTGCCCTCCCTCCGTCCTTTTGGGGATGTGGGCCAGGAAGGAAGGGAATGGGTGCACTTGGCAGAGGGGGAGAAAGCCTTGAAGAGACGCCCAAGAGGACCTACCGAGGACGACTCCCCGGCTCTGGGCCACAGCCTCACCCTGGACCACCAGCTGAGCCTGGACCTCGACTTCCGTGGGGGAGTTAAAGATGGTCACACTGACGACTTCCTGCAGTCCCGCGCGGAAGACAGAGGGAGCAGCAATCAGATAGCCCCTGTAGGAAGGGAGAAGTGAAGTGAGGGTCTGGCCCAGCTCTGATCTCACTACCATCCTGGCTGGGTCAGGGCAGCCTCCGGGTCAGACTCCTGCCTCTTCCTCACCATGGCACTCTACGGGTCTGTGTCCCCACCCCCCGAAAGTCTCATTCATCTCTAAGCCCCCCAAGTTAGGTAAGAATCAGGTCTCACTGGATCTAACCAGAATCACACCCAGTCTCTTTTTTTCTTTAGAGAGAAAGAGATTTTTGCTCTAGGGTGTGTGTGCCCTGGTCAGAGAGACAGAAAATGAGAAATCACTCCCTTGGCGGGGGTGGGGGGGAGATGGCCATGCCACAATCCCTTCTCTTCCATTCTCCTCTAGGGATCTTGGGCACGCACGCACACACTCCTGACATGAGTTTCAAGTCTCCAGGGCTGGGACTCAAACCATGGTCAATCATGTGTGGGAGTCCAGTGACATAACCATTACACCTGCTGGTCCCCCGGACTCTTTTTTTCAGCGGCTTTCTCTGCCTCAGGATCTTTGCACATGCCACGCCAACGGCCTCCCTCCCAGTCCATGGAATCCTCGGGATCCTATTTTATCCTGACAGCCATGTTACTGCCATTCCCATAAGAAAGATATTCCTGGGGAGGGATCAGCAGTTAGTGTAATGGCTATGTCTCTGGACTCCCATGTAGTTGACCACGATTCGTGTCCCAGACCCGGTGGCTTAAAAAACTCACGCTGGGCGCGTGTGCGTGCGTGCCCAAGATCCCGAGAGGAGAATGGAGGAGAAGGGATTGCAGCGTGGCTATCCCCCTGGGGGGTGATTTCTCACTCTCTGTCTCTCTGTCTCTGTCTGTCTGGCGAGCGCACGCGCCCTATAGTGAAAAACCTCTCCAAAAAAAGAAGAAAGAAAGAAAGATATTCCTGGGGAAGTCAAGTTACGTGCTGTAGTCAGCAAATGACCAGGATTCTAATCCAGACAGCCAGACTTGGGAACCCAGTAGAAAGAAGTAAAGGGCACCCTCATAGTGTTGATTTCATTTTATTTTATTAAAGAATTATTGGGGGATCAGCAGTTAGCGTAATGGCTATGTCACTGGACTCCCATGTGGTCGACCGCAGTTCGCGACCCAGACCTGGTGGCTTAAACTCACGCAGGGCACGTGTGCGTGCGTGCCCAAGATCCCGAGAGGAGAATGGAGGAGAAGGGATTGCGGCGTGACCATCCTCCCGGGGGGTGATTTCTCGCTTTCTATCTCTCTGTCTCTCTCTGTCTGTCTGGCGAGCGCACGTGCCCTATAGCAAAAACTTCTCCAAAAAAAGAAGGACTGGAACTTGATCACAGGCCAGATAGGAGACAATGCTCCCACATCCCCAGGTCACCCTTCAAGGCACCTGACCCGGAAGTCCAGGTCCTCTCCACCGAAGCGCCATGCTTAGCAAAGTGAGACAATGATCACTACCTTCTAGAAGTGTCTTGAAAGAAGACCAGAAGATGGTGTCATGGTTACATTGCTGGACTCCCACGTAGTCGCCTGTGGTTAAAGTCCTGGTTTCAGGCTTGAAACCCACGCCGGGCACATGTACTTGTGTGCCCAAGAGGAGAAGGGATTGCGGCGTGGCCATCCCCCCTGGGGGGTGATTTCTCACTTTCTGTCTCTCTGTCTCTGTCCATCTGGTGAGCACACGTGCCCCATAGCAAAAACCTCTCCAAAAAAATAAATAAGTAAATCTCTTGGACAACCCCACATCCACATATAATAAGATGAATTTATCAGTCACATTGACACAGTGGTAATTCAATACCCTGCAGTGTTTGTATTCCAAGGTGTCCCCATACCCGGCAGGCGCACACACAGGCTGGTGATCCTGGCTGGCCGAGGTGGGGTGGGGACAGATCGCAGTGTGAGGACCCTGTTGGAGATGCCCACCTGTCTCTCCCTCTCTCTTGTTCTCATGAAAGAAATATATAGGGGTTGGCACCAGCAGATGGCATAAGTATTATGTAGCTGGACTCCCACTTGACTGACCATGGTTCAAGTCCTGGACCTGGCGGCTTAAAACACGCTGGGCACGTATGTGTCAATGCCCGAAATCCCAAGAAGAGAAGAGAGGAGAAGGCGTGGCCATTTCTCTGGGGAGTGATTTCTCACTTTCTGTCTCTCTGTCTCCCTCTGTCTTTCTCACACCAGCCCTATAGCACAAATCTTTCTTTAAAAGAAAGAAAGAAAGAAAGAAAGAAAGAAAGAAAGAAGAAAGAAAGAAAGAGAGAAAGAAAGAAAGAAAGAAAGAAAGAAAGAAAGAAGAAAGAAAGAAAGAAAGAAAGAAAGAAAGAAAGAAAGAAAGAAAGAAAGAAAGAAAGAAAGAAAGAAGAAGGGAAGGAAGGAAGGAAGGAGGAAGGAAGGAAGAAAGAAAGAAAGAAAGAAAGAAAGAAAGAAAGAAAGAAAGAAAGAAAGAAAGAAAGAAAGAAAGAAAGAGAGAGAGAGAGAGAAAGAAAGAAAGAGAGAAAGAAAGAAAAGGAAAATATAGGGCCAACAGGTGGAGTGGTAGTTAAGGTACTGGATTTCATTTGGCAGACTCTATAGTTCAAGTCCTAGACCCAGTGGCTTGAAAATCACACCAATGGCTTTAAAATCACATCAGGAGTATGTGCATGCATACCCCAAATCCCAAAGGGACAATGGAGAAGGGATTGAAGCAGGCCATCTCCTAAGGAGTGATTTCTCGCTTTCTCACTTCTCTGTCTCTCCCTGGCAAGCAAAAACACCTTTTGGGGAAAAATCTTAATTAAGGGAAAAAAAAAAAAAGAAGAAGAAGAAAGAAGAACTATATAAACTTTAAAATAACTAAGGAAATAAATAAAATGAGTTTAGATCCTTACCTCACACCATACACTACAATGAACTTAAAGTGGGTCACAGATCTACTTGTAAAAAGTAAAACTATAGGGAACCAGCAGTTAGTATAATGGCTATGTTGCTGGACTCCCATGTAGTCGACCGCGGTTCAAGTCCCGGACCTGGTGGCTTAAAACTCACACCGTGCGTGTGTGTGCATGCCCAAGATCCCGAGAGGAGAATGGAGGAGAAGGGATTGCAGCGTGGCCATCCCCTCTGGGGGGGTGATTTCTCG